CTAGGGTCCTCTGTTCCTGGACTGTATGATTAACTACTCCTCCGTTTTTGTTACAAAACTTCTACCTTTACAATTGTGACAGTCGCAATTAATCATGATAACAATTACTCACTATGAGTCTTAAGAATCTTATCCCCATCTCTTTTTACCAGACCCATCTAGACAAGATGAAGATCATCTCTTCCAACTACTGATCCTTCCTCCTTGTTTCTAACCTTTGCATTCCAATCACCAGTAATTTTCAATGCATCTTGAATACATGTTTGATCAATTTCAGGCTGAAGAAGTTGGTAGAATTCTACAATTTCATCATCACTGGCTTTAGTGGTTGGTGTGTAAATTTGAATAATTGTGGTTTTAGCTGATCTTCCTTGTAGGCATATGGATATTATCCTATCACAGACAGTGTTGTACTTCAGGACAGATCTTGAAATGCTCTTTTTGATGGTGAGAGTGACACCATCCCTCTTCAACTTGTCATTCCTGTCATAGTAAACCACACAATGGTCTGCTTCAAAAGAGCTAATACCAGTACATTTCAGCTTACTAAGGCCTACGAGATCATCTTTTTTGTATCCCATTTAATTTTTTGACAGCTTCCAATTTTCCTAGATTCCTATTTTATACATTCCATGTTCTGATTATTAATGGATGTTTACAACTGTTTCTCCTCATTTTGAGTTGTGACCCATCAGCAAATGAAGAAAACTTCATTCCATTTGTGTCATCACAGTCAACTCTACTTTGAGGAGGCTGCTCTTCTACAACTTGAGGGGTTTATCTTCTGATACTTTATCTGACAGTATTTTGGTGCTATTCATAATGTTTCAATATTCAGTATTCTGATGCTGTCTGACAGTGTTCCACTGCTATTTGTAAAGTTTTCAATGACTGAATATTCGAGAAGTAGTCTGCCTCTCCTTCTTCCTAGTCTGTTTTAGTCTGGAAGCTTTGCTAAAACCTGTCTTCCATGGGTGTATCCTGCTGGTATTTAAAATCCATTGGCAGAGCTTCCAGCATCATAGCAACACACAAGCCATAATACGACAAACTGACAGGCAAGTGGTCAATTTATGTATGCTTGATGGCGCTAAACAACAACACCATATGTGTAAATATACATATATATAAATGTAGCCATTTCACATACAAATTTGTATGTAGAAATAGCCATAAACATACCTACATGTGTTTGTGGGTGTACTGCCACGTGACTTCTTTCACCTGTTTAGCATACATATTTACTTGTGTGTCCATTCACAAATTATTGCTGTTACACAAACAGACACAACAACAACCCAACCACTGACTCATAGTGACTTTGTAGGACAGAGTAGAACTCTTCTGTAAGGATTCTGTGGCCGTTTCTTTAAGGACAATTACCTCATCTTTCTCCCACAGAGTGAATAGTGGGTTCAAACTGCCGACCTTTCAGTTAGCAGCCAACAACTAACTTACTGTGACCCCAACGTTCCTTATATTTACTCTTGTTAAGTGCTGTCAAATTGGTGCTGACTCATAGTGACCCTGTACAGGGTTTCTGAGGAGCAACTGATGAGCTTAAACCACTAACCTGTGGTTAGCAGTCCAGTGCTTGTCCTGTAGCGCCACACCAAGACTTGTCATTTGCCATTTAATCGTGTGCCTCTCATTTCTTCTGTTGTCTTGGTCACATTGTGCTGACTTTCTTCATACTGCGTATTGCCTTTCCTTCTCCATTATTAGCTTGTATGTACTTTACACAGCCTGGGTGTAGTGCTGTACTGCTAGCTGCAGGGTTGGTGGTTCAAACCCACCAGTTTCTCCTGGAAAACCCTATACGGAGTCGCTATCAGTCAGAACTGTCTCTCAATAGCACTTAATGATAAACAAATATCTAGTTAGTGATTTTCCTTCCCTCCCCTTCCCATTCTTGGCAACCATCAAAGAGCATTTCATTTTGTGTGTAAACCTATTCTTGATTTTAAAGATAATCATCTCATACAACATTTGTCCTTTGTTGTTGTTGTTAAGTGCTATCAAGTCAGTTCCTACTTACATCGACCCTTTATAGGATTTCCGAGGAGCAGCTGGTGGGTTTAAACAGCTGACCTAGTGGTTAAAAGTTCAGTGCTGATCCTACAGAACCATACTAGGAGCTATTTTTCTGTTTATGATTCACTTAGTTCACGTAGCATAATGTCCTCCAGATTTATCCATGTTGTGAGGTATTTTGTGTATTCAGTGCTGTTTTTTATCACTGAGTAGTAAGTATCCCATTGTTTGTATGCACCGCAGTTTTTTTTACCCATTCACTTGTTGATGAACACTTCGATTGTTTCCATGTGTTATTCCAAGCAGGAATAATGGCTGCTTGTCTCTTCCTGTCACAGCTCTGATTTTCTTCAGGATCCATATCTAGGGGTGGGGAATGGGACTTTCTCAGGAGAGCTACTGTTATTTCTAGTTTAGTCAGTCATCGTGGCCTTAACTTGCCACCTTGCTGGTCAAAGTAGAGTAAAATGCAGTTGACACAGTGTCAATGTGAGAAAAGCTAAAGCTCAACTTGACGTCTGTTAGAGAATACACACAGGCAAAGAGAGCTGGTGGGAAAGTCTTCCCGCAGTGCTGAGACCTCTGGTAAGCCGAGGGTCCAAACCGGAGAGAAAATATATACATATGATATATGTCACAAGATTGATCCATGAGTCTAAACGTCATGGTCGTAAGAGGATTTGTATGAAAGAGAAAACTTACGGTTCTAAATACAGTATTGAGTGCTTTATCAATCAGAGAAACCTCAATGCTCATCATAGAATTCACTCAGGAACTAAAACCACATGCATGTCTACAGTAGTGCTGTGTAACAGAAATAGAACGCCAGCCACAAATATGAACCACATATGGGATTCAAAATATTGTAGCCACATTAAAAAACATAAAAGAAACAGGTGAAATTAATTTTAATAATATATTTTATTTAGCTCACTATATATGAAAAGTATTATTTCAATATGTAGTCAATATAAAAAATTATATATGATAGTTTGCATTCTTTTGTATGTCTTAAGCCTTTTAAATCTAGTGTATATTTTATACTTTACCACTTCTTAGGGATTGGTAGCCACATTACTAGTGCTCAGTGGCCACATGTGACTATTGGCTACTGGATTAGATAGCAGAGATCTACTATATGACCAAACTTGTCTGTTGGCAAGCCATAAATGCCACAGAAGCTGCACTTATAATAGCTCATGTAAAGGCCCCAAATGATTTCTAGTTAAGTCCGATTCTTGTTCTAGCCCAAGAATAAAATAAACAGTACTTTATAATGTATTATATCTTGAAAAGTAAATGACTACTCATATTTAAAGTACTTAGCTCATAATGTTGTTGTTAAGTGCCATTGAGTTAGTTCCGACCCATAGTGACCCTAAATAGGGTTTCCGAGGATCAGCTGGTGAGCGTGAACCACCGATCTTGCGGTTCAGACTAATTTTGCAGTCCAGCGCATTAACCCACAAAGCCACGCGAGGAATCCTAGCTCATAATATATGCTCAGTAAATAGTCAGATCTGACTGGTTGGTCCCATTGCATAGCAACTCTACATAGGGTTTCTGAGACTTTAAATCTTGTACTGCAGCAGAAAGCCTCATCTCTCTCCTGTAGCGTGCCTAGTGGACTCAAACTGCTGACCTTGTGGTTAGCAGCCCAGTGCGTAACCCACTACTTCACAACTGTGATTTAAGAATAATTGCGCTGTTTCCATTATACAACTAACCTTCTTTTATTTAAAAGATTTCTAGTTCCCAGGGAAATCCTTTCTAAAGAGTAGGAAATTATTTTTTATATACTTGCATAAGTAAAAAAGTATTGCCACAAAATCATAGAAACTTGATTCAAAAAAATATCAAAGTAGTAATCTATTTTTTCTCTGCATAGCCTTTGTCTATATCTATAAATTTCCAAAGGTGGTGTTTCTATCTCTCTAACTTTTCCCCTAATTATTCTGTTTAGTTCAATTTATACTACTTCAAAACTGCAGTTTCGCTATCCTTGAAGGACCCAAATCATATTCTTTTTAAATGTTCGTTGAGTTTTTTTGGGAAAAAATAGTCTGAAGGGGCAAGATCAGGACTGTAGGGTAGATGGAATAAGTTTTCCAACAAAATGATCATAGCACATTCCTTGCTAAGCTTGATGAATGAGCAGATGCGTTGTTGTGATGGAAAATAATTCCTCATTGAAACTTTCCTGGACTTTTTCTCTCCAATGCAGTTTTCAATTTTTTGATTAGTCCCCATGATTGTTCCGTATCTTTTGAGAAACACTATCAACAGTATCCCTTTGGAGTCCTAAAAACAGTCATCATAACCTTCTGAGCTGACCTTTTAGCCTTGAACTTAATTGACTCAGCAGATCCCCTCAGAAGTCATTGATTGGACATTGTTTTTTGAAGGCACCCTAACAAGATTGTGGTTGTTAAGTGCCACGGAGTAATTTCTGACTCATAGCGACCCTGTATAGGGTTTCCAAGTAGCAACCATAGACTTTACAGATAAGGACTCTTTTTACAATGGAACTTATTTGTTTGGTCCCCTCACTAACTTTTTTGAGCAGCTGATTCATTTCTTATGTTTGGTTATTTTTCATAACACCTCTAGTATTTATAAATGAAGGATGTGATAAGTCAGTATTGGTAACTGATGTGGTCACTGCCTGCAATTATGTGGCGTAATGTGTGGTTTGGGTTTTTCATAATGGTTGTCTCTCAAGAATATGGAGGGAGGTAATAGGTTGGTGGTTTGATTCCTCATCTCCACTTCTTTAACTGTGTTGGATAGAGAAAGTTTGCATGTAGATCTCTTCCTTGCTGTGCTAATAAGTGAGCTGGGGAGATGTGGGTAGCTACTGTTCAGTGTAGGTGACAAATGTCAATTCTTTTTAAATGGTAGGATTAAGCAACTGATTATTCACTCTACATCTATAATATTTAACACCTTGCTATATTTCTTTACAGGAATACCCATGGCTTGATAAAAACCATTGTGAAATTATTACAAATGCAAGCTTTTAAGGAAGCACAGGATGGGGAGAAGAATATTCAGGATATATATACTATTAGGTAAGCCTTTCTCCTGCCCTTTTTTTTTTTTTTTTGCAAATTTGCATACTAATCACCTGAGGATCTTGTTGAAATGAAGATTCTCTTTCCTTAGGTCTTGGGTGGGTCTATGGTTCTGCATGTCCCAACATGTGATGCATTTGGTCCCCTCACCGCACTCTGAAAATCCGTGCTACCAGCAGCTTCAGCATTGGACTTGTTAGGAATAGGAATGCATGTTTCAGGCCCCACCCCAGACTGTCTGAATCAGAAATGACATTTTTAGAATGATTCTCCAAGTGACTCATAGATACATTCAAGTTGAAGTAGCACTGGTTTGGATGATTTCCAAGCACAGTTAGACTGACACACATGGGTCATCATGAGCCAGGATCAATTCTACGGCAGCTAGATTGGTTTGGAAGGAGGTCAAAAGACATTTTCTATCATGCAGGGAAGCTGGTTTGTTCTCACTTTCATGTGAATTATTCTCCCTGTGTACAAGTGGTAGACCTTCACCATAATGTTTTACCTGTTTTCCTATTTATAACCTATTTTTCTGTAGTAGGTCCTTCTAACTGAAGTCTTATTTTCAACAGACAGTAGGTGCTAGGTGTGGGTAGAGGGAGTCTAGTTTGAGGAGCTGAAATCAGTCAGGTATGTGGAATTTGTCCCTGGATAGGTGGCGTATTAAGAGGTCCAGAATCAATCACCTGAGTTGGCATAATCCAGTAATGTTTATGGAGAGCCCTTATGTGAATGACTGTTTGGCACTGTAAATCAGTAAAGTGTAATCGAGTGTGTAAGAGCCTTAACTTCCTTCAAGGGGGGATTGTGGATGGCAGGAAGACAACAGGTGAGCCTGAAGAGCAGAATCCCCTCAAGAGAGCTATGATGACTTGAGTCAGGCATAAACTGTCACACTGTTTTAGAGCCTGTTTGCCACGTAATGGTTAACAGTATCATCCAGCTTTGGAGAGGCAACGGATGAGCTGTGTATGAAAGCATAGAAAGGATATTAGAAACTTAGAACTCCACTGAGAGGTGTTCCCTGGTTGTGCTGGCACATTGATTTAAAATGGAATTGGTACGGGCCATAGTTGTAAGCTTTCAGGGCATGAAGCTAGTCTCTGTTTTTGTTATAAAAGACTCTTCCAGTATATAGTTTGTGTTTAAATATTTCTTATTTCATTTTTTAATAATGTCTGATTGACTTGGATAATAACAATATAGAATATATGGTCACTTTCAGTGGATCAATTCTGAATTACATAAACTCTGCCCATATGGGAGTGAAGAGAGGAAGATGTGAGAACTCAGAATGTTAACCAATTGAGTCCCTTGGTCCCTGTGGACTTCCAGCAGTTCTGTAGAGAGTATTTTTTGTTGTGGTTGTTGAACCTAGAGCTCAGTGGCTCTCAAGCATCCTGTGTGTAAAAGTCACCTGGGGAGCTTGTTACCAGTACAGCTTCCCAAGCTCACTTGCCAAGAGATTCTTATTTATTTACTGAGTTTTGTGTGAGACGCAGAGTCAACATGTTTATCCAGCTGCTCAGTGTTAACGGATATAGGTCATTTGTGTATCACACTTGAGACATATTACTTTAGCCCATGGGAGCTTGATAGTGTCACAGAAAGCTACAAAGAACTCCTTTGGGTAGACCTGAGGGTGTCTTGAGTGGTTCCCTGCCTCTGTTCCACATTTGGGAGGTAAAACGTCTGTGTGTTCTTAAACATCAAGGCACCAAGTTCATCTTTACATATGAACCATGGACAATAGAGAGACTAGGAGCAGGACCAAAGAGCAGTTCTAAATAAAGGAAAGATAGTCCAAAAGAGAACAAGCTAAGTGTGGCTACAAGAGTGACAATGTAAGAGATTTGAACTTCATCATTCTGTGCAACGAAATAACTCCATGGCTCCTTAGCCTTCAACCCATATTGTTGTAGTTTAGTGCCATCAAGTTTCCGAGAATGGCTGGTGGATTTGAACCGCCGCCCTTGTGGTCCAGAGCATTATCTTGCAGGAGCACACCAGAACTCCGATCAACACATATCAGTGCTCCTCAAGGTCAGACAGTGGGTGACTGTAGGAGCAGGAGGGGAGGAGAAGCTCTCAGAAACTGAGACTGGTTTTCAGTGCTAAAGGAGCTTATCCCTTTGTGATACTTATGTCTGCAACATGGCCTAGGAATCTGCATTTTAACAAGGGCTTCACATGCAGGTGGTCTATTGACCATACTCTGAGAAACATGAGATGATTCTGTAACTAATAAAGTTCATATTGCTTAACCAAGTCCTCCTTCCTAGACAGTCTCTGTGTCTGTAGCACGATTGTTGTTTTTAGCTCCTCCCTGTCCCCATGTTGGCAAAACAAGATGCTGCCTGGTCCTGCACCACCCATGACGGGTTTCAGATCAGACTGTTGTGACCCATAGGGTTTTTCTTCCTTTGTTTGACTTTTAAAAAACTTTGGAATTAAGTGAAGGTCTACAGACCAGATCATCAGTTTTTGGGTTTTTTTAATGTTTTATTGTGAATTATATGATAGTTTACATGGGAGAACATTAGTTTTACATTCATCCTATCATCTATTGTTTCACTGCCATGGTTAAAATCCCCTCCATGCATCATCAACCAACCAAAGGGTATACACTACAAGCTTGCATCCTGGTCATCAGCACACAGCCCTTCACTCTCTCTGTCTAAAGTCCCCAGCTGTTCCATCTCTCCATGTCATCGTCTCTGCCTCCATCTCAGCCATCACTGCTTCTCTGGATAGGGTCCCGCGCTCCACTCTTCTCCCTTGATGGTCCCAGGGACTTCCGCTCCTAGACTGAAAAGTTAATAATTCCCCTCCTTGCTACAAAACATCTACCTTTACATTTCCCACCCTCACAAGCAGTCTTGATAACAATTATTCACTATTGTATCACAAGAGACCCATCCGCATTTCATTTCATCAGCCCTGCCTAGAAAGATTGGATATTACTCACTGGAGATTCTACCTTCCTCCAGGCCCTCTGGATCTAGGTTCCCTCTTGAAAGCTTGTAAGCCAGTCAATTCTTACCTTTGTAGTACCCCATTTTGGGTGTCAATGTCCAAGTTGCCCATCCCTGTCTACTCTGTGCATGGAGGGGGTGGCAATGATCCTTGCTGTAAGGATTTGTTCCCTCTTTTGAGCTACTGCATCCATAGGTGTAAGTCAAGTTCATCAAATTGTAACAGATTACTCTTTTTTTCCTCTTCTATCTTCTTCCGGTTGAGCTCTGATCATCCAGTCAGATCATCAGTTACATTCAACA